CATAAATTCTGCACGTGAAATTGACAGTAAAACTAAAAGACTAGTAGACATTCTAAATGAAACGTGAAAAACAGTACGTTGATAAAATTGCAAGAAATACGTTTCCACTTATAACATTCTCTCAAACAACAATCGAAAAAAAAAACTATATATATATATATATAGGTAACTTTAAAAGGTGAATCAGCGCCGTTGAATTAAAACGAAAAATTATATTTTATTTGTTAGAAATACAAACCATTACTTTAGACAAAAATACGGAGAAATTTAAAGCTAAAATAGAAATAAAAGAACAGCTTTCAGATGTGCATTCAAAGGTGGCGTTTTCTTGTATACATTTACACATATGCATAAAGCTTTAGAATAATAAGGTTTACGTTTAAGATGTGCCTATACGTACATGTATATATATATATCCTGTATCTGAGATATTAAAGTCACATATTACACTTCACAGAAACATTTATGGTAACGCAATCTGTTTCTCTTAAAATTTCAGAATTTGTAACTTTGATAATCTTAATAAATTGTGTAAATATACGTTTATGTTCTGTAATACGTTTCTTCATTACCAAAATGAAAGTCCGTTAGAGGCGCTGGAGAGCCTAGACGTGTGACGGTATGAAATAATAGTGTATTAGTTATACACCATAGTCACAGTGTATTAGTTAAACTGGACCTTACGTTTCTTCATTACCAAAATGAAGGTCTGTTAGAGGCGCTGGAGAGTTGAGACGTGTGACGGTATGAAATAATAGCCACAATGTATTAGCTACACACCATAGCCACAGTGTATTAGTTAAACTAGACCTTACGTTTCTTCATTACCAAAATGAAGGTCTGTTAGAGGCGCTGGAGAGCCTAGACGTGTGACGGTATGAAATAATAGTGTATTAGTTACACACCATTGCCACAGTGTATTCGTTAAACTGGACCTTACGTTTCTTCATTACCAAAATGAAAGTCTGTTGGAGGCGCTGGAGAGTTGAGACATGTGATGGTATGAAAAAACGTTTAGTTATTCTTTGATAAATTGTTTAGGCAGAGTATTCACGATGAAACTTGTGTCTCTACAACAGCCAGTTGCCGTCCATTCAACAACGCTTCATCAAATGTTTAGTTGTTTGTTATTAAGCACAAAGCTACACAATGGGCTAGCGATGCTCTGCCCGCTGCAAGTATCGAAACTCGATTTTTATCGTCATAAGCTCTCAGAATTACCGTTGAGCCAACTGGGGGGGGGGAGGGCATGTAACATCTTACCACATCATAATTTTCGGGTGTTTGTAACATTTTTTATTTATAATGTATTAGTATTTTAGGCCTAAATAAGTTGTAGTAAGCTGAGAATACAAATAATTTTTTATCATGTTAGCAGAAAGAAAAAGTCAATAAAAGTTGGGTAGTACTGCATAATTTCAAAAATTCTTTGGCTTTAAAAGGAACTTTTACTGTAGGAACACACATAGCTTTGAGTATTACTAAAAGCGTAAAATTCTTATGAAAATTTTCTCCAACTGTTCCTAAATGTACTGTTCTGCAATCTTTATTCAGCTTTGATGTAACTTAGATTTTTGTATTTATTTCAATACCTTTAGCTTTTTATCGTTCTTAATAACTTTATAATTTTATCTTTATTAATGACTTTAGAGTTATTTCTGATTTATTCCAGAGAAATGGAAATATCAAACGTTAGCATGTGTGTGTCGGGGGGAGGGGGAATAGTTGGATTTTATGACTTCTTGTATCATCTTTTAAGTACACCAAAAAAAAAAGCATTTTGAATATTTAAAATCAAATTTCACGAAAGTAACTCACTTTTTTTTTTTATATTTCGAACTGATGCGCCTTTTTAATATTGTGTGAGGCAGCTTTTAATGTAATGTTACCAAACTAAAAGACAGAATTACCGTTTTTTTATGAACCAACTCTGCCTATAACCTCTTAACAAATCTCTATACAAAACGCGTTTTCTTCTACGTTTTCTAGGCATTTATTTACGAAAAGATTCGAAGATATCACTCCGCATTTTCTGTTTCACAAAGTTGAGCAACGAAGATGGAATCACTTACACTTTTATTTTATTTTATTTGTTTGTAGTTAAGCACAAAGCTACACAAAGGGCTATCTGTGCTCTACCCACCACGGGTATCGAAACCCAGTTTTTAGCATTGTAAGTCCGCAGACATACCGCTGTGCCAGTGGGGGGGGGGGGCGGAATCACAAAATCTTCTGGGTTGCTTTGTTGTGACATCCGACCTTTAGTGTTAATGTAACAATGAAAATATAATATATTAATTAACTTCTACACATATTGTTATTTATACATTTACTTTCATAAACTTCACTTTACAGACTAACATAAAAAACATTTCAAAGATAGGGTAAGTTCAGGAATTTAGACAGAAACAGCCACGTGATTTAATATGCCGCTTATCGGTTACGTTGTGATCAAGTATTTAAACGAGAGCGAACGGTATCAGTTCCATAACTAATCTGTATGCTGAATACACCACTTTGTAGGTCACGTGGATAAAGCCGTATCAAACAATCACCTTCTGTACCACCGTGCTAATACGTAGGCTCCCGTATCGCACTTATAAACCAGTATGAATATTGATACAAATTCCACAGCTTTACCGCAACGTGGAACCGGTCCCATTAACGGAAGAACACCCTTACAGCGTTACTATGGTAACGAGCCGGCCTGACGCAGGCAAGGAGAAAGGAAACTATATCGTTCTTGTTACTAAAAATAAACTAGTTTCCAGCTATAGTAGCACATAGGTACACGCCTTCTTCTCTCGGAAGTTGACTCGCGCGTGAACAAAGTTTTAAGAAATAAAAAAGTTTTTGCGATGTGTGAAACGTGAAAATATTAATGCACATTGATCGTTGACGGTAAAAAAGAAAGACATATTGCTTGTGGATGGATGGGTGGGCGGGGGAACTACACTAAAATGAAATTCCTGTCTCCAGTATCTCGTGACACGCACAATTTTCAGAGATGAAAACTTTCTGTATAAAAAGTTCGTCTTTTCTAACTGTTGATCAACGTTCTATCTTCAAAACTTACTCAAAAACACGGGTCAATCACCGACCAGAAACTTCAAAAACAAGAATGATAACTTATACTTAAACACAGATCAAATATAAATGAAAGATAACAGCCTACTTACCGCTTTCTGCATGTTATAATCTACTACTTAATAAAAAAAATCACGACTATCTATGTACAGAAAGTTATTTCGCACGAAGAAATTCCACGAGACTATCAACATATAGCCATATCTGCCCTAGGCGAATGGCTGATTACGTCACATTAGGCCTGGGGACTTTAAATGGGATAGTTTGTCCACACATACACTACGTAGCATGTTTCAAGCCAGCACGCCATCCTTTAGTCTCTCGTCAGGCGTGAAAGTATCCGTTGAATATAAAAAAGTCCTTAGTTTAAAACACTTCTAGACATATTAAACTTGATTCTATAAGGGACAAGCCATTCACTACGTCTTTGCGCCGGCTGGGACGCCGGAAAATAGAGATATCAAACAGCATCCAGGGAGCCATCAACGTTAACGGAAGTTAGCGGGTAGAGGAAAAAAGGAAATTAGTCAGTCAGGGAGGGGAAGAGGCCATAGACATTTCGTTAGAGAGGGGTGTTTTGGGCAAGTTTACATTACACATGTGGCACGTGATCTAAACACTTGTTCGAAAGCTCATACGGATCTGTTAATCAAGGGGTTTTCATCAGAATCATAAAGACACTTCTTAGTCTCAGAAGTGTAACGTACAATGTATTCTTGTGTATCTCTACACCCTGCCCGCGTTTAGTGTTACGAATCACTCAGTAACAAGTTAGGAGTACAAAGTAGTAGAAAAGTTTACGACGTCACATTTCTTAATTAAGGTAAAAACGGTCAAGAAAAGGGTATATACAATTTTGAAAATGAAAAAAAAGTCAGCAAATATCAGTGGCATACAACGAATGTCACTGAACATCAGTAGAAAAAAAAATATTTAAAGAAATACTTCGAAACATGAACTATGAATGCGTATTTCCAAATTAGGTAATACAGTTTCTTAAAAGAGATTTCGCTTGTGACGTCATAATTCCTCGAGAAGAGCTTTCATGAGTCAGCCTTTGCTAGTCAAAACTAAATTATATAATTTTTTTTGTTACGCTAGTTCTTTTAAAAAAAATATGTTTTTCATGCTATACATGGTATGGTATTCTGTTCAAATTTGCCTTACTCAGTAATAGAAAATTCTGGGCAGTTAAATAACTGAGTGTTTCTCAATAACATGCAAAAAACAAAAATAAATTCAGTTGCTTTTTCAATGACATTTTGTTTATCAAGGCTATTGCGCTGAAAGCTGCCGGTAGGAGCCGAGGTGGAATGGACAGAACATTTTTAATTTTTTTTTCTAGATAAGACGGTTTACTAATTATCACCTCATAATTCAATATTAGTGTGAACACAATAACTGAAAATGATGTGGGGGAATAAGTTACTAGATTAATCAAAGTAATTCGAAAATTAGATTTTAGGAAATGTAATCAAACAAGTACTTGGGGGTTTAAGAAGACTGGTCTCACGTGCCCCCCCCCCAGTACATCTGGGGGATCTACACTAAAGTATAATTTGCGTATACATATATGTTAATCAAGCCTGGCTAGAAATATCTCACAGAAACTGCTCTCTGGGACCCCCCCCTTTCGAATTAAGGGTGGGGGTTACTACCCCTCTCGCCCCTTTAATGGCGCCCCTGATCGGCAAGCTTAACGCAAGTACTGTACACACTGTATATTAATTTACACTGGAGACTAAAGTAATAATTTTTTAAATCTATTTTAAATCTTATCGACTAGACTTTTCCCAATTCTTTATTATGGATTTATTCTTGCATTAATATATTATGCTAACGATAAACTAAAATCTGCAGAGGATGAACACAGTTGTGTAAAAATTATTTTGCATTTTTTTCCTTACTGGAGGATCTTTTATGAACAGATGCGTGCACAAGAAAGAAAGCAGCCCCCCTCCCCCGCAATAATTCTACGCATTCGGATTCGGTCATTTTTGTGAGTGTAACGTTGTTTATTGCTATGCATATGATGTACACGCGTGTGGTATTATATAAATATATATATATATATAGTGTGTATAATGGCTGGAGACGGCTTGAATGGGTAATGAAGAAAAACTTTAATATAAGTTTTCTTCATTACCCATTCAAGCCGTCTCCAGCCATTATTAGTCTCAAAGTGGGTTCCTCGTCATCGAATATAGTGTGTATGTTTAACGTGCTCACCAGTAGAGGTCAAATATAAACTCCTGCACACGGCCCTGCTTATGAACGACTACTATAGTCTGAAGACTAACAGTGTAACATCTAAAATCCACTGTTATACAGCCTGAAGACTAGCATGGAAAATCCTTTGTGTTATTGTCTGAAGATTAACATAAAATCATCTGTATTATCGTCTTAATACTAGCAAATAAAATTTTCTGTATTATTTTGAAGATAAGCACGTAAAATCCTCCGTATTATCATCCGAAGATAAGCACGTAAAATCCTCCGTATTATCACCCGAAGATTAACACTTAAAATCCTCTGTATTATCATCTGAAGATAAACACGTAAAATCCTCCGTATTATCATCCGAAGATTAACACTTAAAATCCTCCATATTATCATCTGAAGATAAGCACGTAAAATCCTCCGTATTATCATCCGAAGATTAACAATTAAAATTCTCTGTATGACAATTTGAAGACTAATGCGTTAAATTCTCTGTATGACAATTTGAAGACTAATGCGTTAAATTCTCTGTATGACAATTTGAAGACTAATGCGTTAAATTCTCTGTATTATTTCCTGAAGTCTGGCATATAAAATCCTTTGCACATCCTGTTGGCAGTGAAAACGTATTTGAAACCTAGTACCTCATCTCCTTCCTGCCAAATAATGTTTCCTTAGCAGCAACAAAAAACTGTACAGTAAAAGTAGTCAACTTAACGTTAACTTTCTGATAAGAAAGCTGGCAGATTACTACACACGCTTTAAACACAAACTTACTCTCGTGTTTCTTTTTGGTAGAATGTTAAACTTGCTGGCAAGCGTAAATAAACGAATCATATATTAAAGTAGATTACAGCAGAGTAATGGAAGTATATAAAAATATTACCAAAAATATATCAACCAATTATAAATAAACGTTAAACTGAAAAATGTCTGTTGGTGGAATATCTTTAGATTACTATATTTAAGAAGTTCAAATGCTGAATATGTCATCATAGAGCAGGGATTCTCAAACTGTGGTACGAATACCACTGGTGGTACGTGGAGCTAATATCGGTGGTACACGACACAATTAATATAAAAAAAAATCTTAAAATTTGTAATAAGCCCTATCTGAGCTTTCCACGTACATATACATACTATTATCTTCACGTATAGACTCACCCTCTACTTACATAGACTCACCAGTATTTTCTTCCTTTAAAATGTACAAAGATGGTACCACATATTCTTCAATAATGCCAGAAAAGAACAATCGCATCCTTCGCATTAATGGGTAAGTGTTAGAAATTTGAATTTTTGTTACTAAGTTCTTCATCCTAGTATGTTACATATCGAGTGTTCTTCATCCCAGTATGTTAACATATCGATGTAAAATATCGAGTGTTCTTCATCCTAGTATGTTAACATATCGATGTAAAACATCGAGTGTTCTTCATCCTAGTATGTTAACATATCGATGTAAAATATCGAGGTTCTTCATCCAGTATGTTACATATCGATGTAAAATATCGAGTGTACATCATCCTAGTATGTTAACATATCGAGTGTTCTTCATCCTAGTATGTTGCATATCGATGTAAAATATCGAGTGTTCTTCATCCTAGTATGTTGCACACTCGATATTTTACATCGATATTCTTCATCCTAGTACATCGATATGTAACATACTAGGATGAAGAACACTCGATATTTTATAGTTTATGTAGTTATAATACTAGGATGAAGAACACTCGATATTTTACATCGATATGTTAACATACTAGGATGAAGAACACTCGATATTTTACATCGATATGTAACATACTAGGATGAAGAACACTCGATATTTTAGTTACATATCGATGTAAAATATCGAGTGTTCTTCATCCTAGTATGTTACATATCGATGTAAAATATCGAGTGTACTTCATCCAGTATGTTACATATCGATGTAAAATATCGAGTGTTCTTCATCCTAGTATATAACTACATAAACTATAAAATATCGAGTGTTCTTCATCCTAGTATGTTACATATCGATGTAAAATATCGAGTGTTCTTCATCCTAGTATGTTACATATCGATGTAAAATATCGAGTGTTCTTCATCCTAGTATGTTACATATCGATGTAAAATATCGAGTGTACACCATCCTAGTATATAACTATTTCGATATAAAATATTGTTTAAATCGAGTGTACGTTTAAACATGCGTAGGCTTAGATGGATGGAGGTAAGAATAAATTAATCTGCAACCGAAAACGTTTGGTATAAAGTTTTCGTATTATATTACTACTTATTGTTTAAGATTATGTTGCCAGATAGAACAGAAACAACTGGATAAACCAAAACTAGAACGCCAACTCGACCATATCAATTTCAAAGAACTTAACGAGTTTGACTGAATGTATCCGGTTTCCGATTTTTCAGGTGTTGTCGATTTCAGAGAAGCTGATGGCGGCGTGTTTAGTAAATATAAACGAAACCGGCATGAGTAATGTTTAAAATATTGTTGTCTTTTCATGCTTGACGCTCCTCCGCCTGTCCTCACTAAGTTCCGGTAAATATTGTTTTGTACTATAAAATTTCGTCAATCAATATCCGGCGGACATACAAAAATCAAACTTTTATGGGATATCATGTATGACGAGGAAAGGGAGTGTTGAAATATTTGCAGTTTCTATATCCACGTGGCTGTTAAAAATTATTTCCACCCTGGCTATCCATCAAACCCAAATAAACAAAAATCAATAGTGTTACGTCTCTGGTCATTTGTTTGTTCCTTTTGGAATTTCGCGCAAAGCTACACGAGGGCTATCTGCGCTATCCGTCCCTAATTTAGTAGTGTAAGACTAGAGGGAAGGCAGCTAGTCATCACCACCCACCGCCAACTCTTGGGCTACTCTTTTACCAACGAATAGTGGGATTGACCGTCACATTATAACGCCCCCACCGCTGAAAGGGCGAGCATGTTTGGTGTGATGGGTGCCCTTACTACCTGGCCATGCCGGGCCCTGGTCATTTGTTAATTTCCGGTATAAATTCTTCCCGAGGAACTTCAGGGATACAAGTCCTTTCTTAAATAAAACTAGCTTATTCTTTCTCAATTCAACTTTGCAATAAACAGAATTTCCACAGTCACTTTAACTTAAATACACGCTATAATTCACAACGATTCACGCAATTTACTTACGGTCACTACCGCTTGCTTGACTCAATTTTCTGTCTCTATATCTCTATATAACTTCAATTATTTACCGGGCTTATATACTAAAATAGAGGGCGCCTAAGAAAGACTAGAGTTGCCAGGAAAAGTCAAGATCCTTCGAGAATCTCATGACGTGTTACCAGCGTCACGTGACTTCCGCTGTCATAAGAATACTGTAGTTTATGAATTATCTGGAAAACATTTAATGGAGTTTAATTGGACTTGGAGGAATAGTCAAATATCACCCAGGAGGTCATTTGACCCCACTTAGCCTAAGATCGTGCTCATATGTCTGGATAAAAGATACTGACTAAGGGA